TACTACGTGTGGTCAGCACTAAAGGGGGTATTTAAACACTGTCTAGTGATATGCCGAACGTGCTATTGTAGGCATTTCCCCTTCTTCAAACACTTCACTGTTTGCAAAAAGCACGTTAAAGGAGGCCTTTTTGAAGAGGTTAATAACTGGAGACTGACGACTGCACGACCGTTGGTGCGGGTAAGCAAAAAGGGGAGGTAGTGAAGAAGAAAAAAGGCAGTGCTTAAGCTGATTGGCTGTGCTTTCTGATGCATGCTGGTAAACAGTGGTAAACACTTCACAAACTCCTCCTTCGCAGTGTACAGCAAGTCGTTTCGGCAGGTTACACGGAGACTGTCGAAACCACTTCTGTCAACTCAGTTCACTGAATATACGCCTCTTCGCTTTCAGCCCTGTGAGAGAAGCATGAGGAGAAGCATGAAGTTTAGCGGTCAGTTAGCGGCAAGGAGAAGGTGGGGGGACACTGAATGTCTACAACTGCTAGAATTGGCTACGAGTGTAATAGCAGACCAAGCGATACAATGGGACGTACCGATACAACTATACCGCTGCTGCATCAAGGAATGGGAAGCCAATGAGTAAATCTTTCAAATTATTTCTGCCTTTTTGATTAAAAGACCAAGATTTAACATGCACCAGTTGGTCTGTACTGTATGACCACGACAAAGGCACTTTGCTATTCCCTTTAATTGAATAAAATCTTATCGCCTTTGATGTTTTCTTTCTGTCTGTTAGAAGCAACCAAGATTAAACATTACTAAATGATTTAAGTTGTCCCAGCTTTGAGGATAACTACACGCACATGCCCATGCCACTGAAGTCTCACTGTCAAGTCCTACAAATAGCATCAACACCAACCCCTCAGCCCATCGCGTCATTGCGAGCATGGCATCGGACAATACTCCTCTTTCCGATTGGCCTGTGGTGTTAGCGCCAGTGTCATGCTCATCATTGCAATTGCACTAAACAAGGACACAGTGTAGTGAAATGTCATGCTAACCAGTATATTGTCGACCAAACAGACTTTTGGGCATTCAACTCGCTCAGCAAATGCCAATTATAAAATTTAGGACAATGGGGAAGGAATAGAAAACAGGTTACTGGCTAGTGCCTCATGTTCATGCGTACCACTTGCCGCTAGACATTGGCCGCTTTCCGTGAAACAAAGTTACCACTGCAATCGAAATATTTGAGGCTGTTTTAAATCTATTGCAGTTAGCACTAGTACTTCAAATTTGATCTTATGAGAGATGCAAAATTCGACCCCTCTAGCCTCAGCAAACGACTAGGGTAGAAAGTGGAATTAGGAAAAGAAATAATGCAAGTGGGAAATCGCAACATATGTACTTCTTGTAGTTTCAGTGGCAAAGTAATTAAATGAAGACAAACAAAAGCAAAAGGTTGAAATTAGGCAAATGGCCAATTACACGGTGCAGTAACAGCAGCAATGTGATTTTCGCCGAGGGATGGCGAAGACAGTCAAATAAGCAATGGTAGTACATAAATAAGTACTCAACAGCACTTTAATTACCTCTCTTGCTTTACTTCTTTGTGAGCGTAGAAAAAAATTCGCTTGTATGGTTACCGCTTTGCATACTTGTGCGATGTGGCTTAAATGTGAAGGAGGCAAAAATTTTTGTGATGGAGGGGCCAATTTTTGCTAGACGCGTGGACTCGGGAGACTAGCATAAGATGGTGAACAAGAAAGGCCACACAGGAGCACAGTATCGGTAACGAGTATTGGGACCGCAGCATTCACCCACTCCTCTCGGTATGTGCGTCCCAAATGCATGATATTTTCGCATCTGCGCATTTGTGCAGCAGTCAGCAGCACAATCAGTGACGCAGAGACCAACAGTAAGCCATAGCTGATGACTTAATTGCCACAATAGCCAGCCAGCGTTCTTCCGTGGCGTTGTCTACACTATACCTGCATCTCATTGCCATAATCAACATTACTACCCACATCACTCAGGAAGACGAATCTTCCAAAGAAAATCACTCTTCTTTGATATGCAAATGATCTCCCTTAACATTTTTGACCAAGATCTTGGCGAAGTGGCAAACGTTATCAAGATAATCTACTCAGTGGGCGACCCTCATGATTCACTAATTGGATGACCGGTTTTTCGCGTGACATGAGCGTGAACTGCTTCTTGCATTCTATTTCCCGTAAAACTACTTTTTTTCTGACATTTGCGATAAAAGTTACGAGTTGTGTTGGTCGACAGGGTCGGGCTTCCTCTGGCCTGACCCTTTGGTCATTCTTTAACAACGCTACTCCAATTGCAGGCAAGATGCACCCTTATTGAAGAGCTGCCTGACTAGCTTTGACAGCGGTCAGTAAGAAGTCTTTCGTTGAAAGCATGGGCAGGAAATTCATTCAACATGCTCCACGGGGGACAGATAGGCTCAGACAGTTTTGAGCCCCTTCACCGAGGTCGAGTTAATCCTTTATTTTTGTGCACAAATCTCATAAGGATGCGAAATAAT